GTGCAAGAGGAATTACAAGAGAATACCTAAAAAGTGCGCAAGAGGAATTACAACAGAGAGACATCATGTGCAAGAGGAGATACAAGAGCAACATCAAGTGCAAGAGGGATACCCCTGTGTTATATTTAGCAGTGATTGACGTCGTTTTCTCAACCATTCTTTGAGTTGAAACCTCTAAATATACTTATGAATGTGTTTTGGTATTATTTAATACTTTTCTACATTTGTATGTAGTTATATATCTGATAATAAGTTGTCACACTATAAAAAGTAACCAATATGAATTATCTAGTAAATCAAAAAAATGTGTGTTAATGTAAAGTCCAGAATATAATTTATATTTGGCATGTCTTCAAATGACCCCTTTTGCCTTGATGACAGCTTTGCACAGTCTTGGCTTCGTCGCTATATAAAGTAGACAATATATATATATAATATATTAAATAGGTATTATATTACATTATTGGCTCTGGATTATTATCATTTCTTTATAAATACGTATGAAAGCAGAGTTCTAGGTTCAAATAATGTTGGAAAACACATATATCACCAATTACACCAATTGATTTCTATCTAATTCTTTGCAAGCTTTGCCGGGCCGCATAAAACGAGGTCAAGGGCCGGATTTGGCTTCCGGGGCTGAGTTTGGACACCCCTGGATCTAAGGCCATGTCCTTCACGCTGGTGCATGTTAGATTGCTTATTTCTCTTAAATTGAATCTATCATGCTATATTTGAATAATATAGTAGGACCAATACCGTATTAAAGGTCAGATTTTACTTTGTTATGTTTTCAAAAATGACCAAACAGATCAGTGCATTTTAGCCATTCCTCATTGTCGCTCAATTTAACACTGTCTTTGCATGGGCTGATTCGTGAGAACCGCACCTCTACAGCGCCTGGCAATTACTACAGCCTCTCAGCGCTTTCCAACGGCAATGTCCGTTGGCTGGTCCCCCTGATTGGGGAGTTGGCCCAATAGCCGGTTAGCGGCCACTCTGTGACGTCAAGAAGTGTTCAAATCTGGATCAGTCTGTATTCAGATTCCGTTGCAGCCCCTTTTTAGAGATTTGGGTGATGGAGGAAAATAGAGAGGGTTGTTGTTCTGACACTTGGTGAGTTCCCTGGAACACCGGGGACACATTCAGTAAGAAAAACTTACAAAAGTGCATTCTTGCGATGATAGGTCCCTTAAAGTTCAACAGGAGGAAATTGGAAAATCCATGGCAGCATGCGGTGGAAGAGGAACATAGAACAGCCAAAAATCCGTCTTTATGGAAGCAGCTGCTTGAGGATCAACTGAATGGCCGGCAATGGTAAGGAAAAGGTACAATGCCTTTATGGTTATTTTCTTATATGTATGTTTTCACAAAGGAGAAATATATACTAAATGTATATATAGGAATAATGTCGTAATTATTACTGTAGCCTTATATGTCTGGCGTTCAGAATCCTTTCGAAGTGCAAAAATAAAGAAAATGAACTCTCATTTATTGTCTTATATATGCAGCTGGATGTATCTATGGCGCTCAAATATGTCTTATGCTGAAGTTCTATGTTATCTGCTTTCTTCGTTTTCTGCTACTACCACAGGCCAAAGCAGAGGAAGTTCAGGCGTTATTTCATTATGTCTTATGTGTCTTCTAACCTCTATCTCTTATGTTTGTACTAAAATGTCAGGGGGTATTGTTTCAAGTAGCGCAACTAATGTTTCTGATATCTGATATCCTAGTCTAAAAAAACAAATAAGGCAATAACAACAAGCGTAAATATTTTATATCTTTAATTCATTATTGCATCTGTGTGTTCTGTCTTGTGGAAATATGACTTGTGTGTATGCAGTGTCTATATCTGTATGTTGTTTTTAACCCTTGTGTTGTGTTGAGAGTCTGTCTGTCATGGTTGTTCGCGTGTCAATTTTGACCTGTTTATTTTCAGCCAAAACACACAAAATTATATGGTATCTATTCGTCTATGTTGTAGTCTACATCTAATCAACCGTATCAATCTGTTGTAATTTTGATTTTGATTGGCCCGCAAAACACAGTTAACATCACTACGTGAAACACGTGCATGTGTGTGTTCGCAGGTTCAAGTGTTAGTGTACATTTCTTTTGAGAAAGGCAAGGGACGGGGAGGACCCAGGTGTATGTTGCGAAAAAATGTTTGTTAACAGTGGATGAGAGGGTGGGGAGGGGGAGTCTAAGTCAAAGGTGAATCTTGATTGGTTCCAAATGTTGACCCCGAAGTCACCCAAAACAATTCTGCTGCGGTCTCCCAAGACCTGACACCAAAATTATACACTTTTTTTTAGAGACCTTCAGACTTGGGCTGAAATGTCAACAAAAAAATCTGTTTTGTAGTGGTAGGTATAGCTGTTGTGGAGGATAATCATGAAAGCCGTTGTGTTCCGGATAAAAGAACAGAGCGTAGTTGTTATATCATTAAACTGGACGGTCATGGATACCCGAACAGCAAACATAAGGGTTAATCCAGTTATTAAAGGTGTGGATAAATTGAGTCTGCAAACAAAGAAAATGATAAAAGAAAGTACAAAAAGATAGGAGTAAAAGGTCAGCCTAGTAGATGTTGTTAAAAGGCCGAAGCTACAATTAATTTGAATTAAATTATTGTTTCTTTTTTAAAAATTAACTGTCACTTTATGTTACGTTGTGGCTTTACCTTTCACACCTTTTTCACATGGTCCCTGCAATTCACCTTTCATTTTCATTTCAGATGGCTTCTTTATTATTTCTTAAAAAAAACTCCATCTACAGAGGACAAAATTGAAGTCAGCAAGGGGGGAAAAATGTTATTTACATGTTTATCTTAATCAAATACAAAATTATAATGCCAGCACAGGAAGAACGCTAGTTTTTGGATGGCATTTCTCAGCTGCCACATTCATGTTTTGCCCCAAAAAAAAAGCTTCCTCCCTGCTGTGGCCATTTCATTTTCACATGACCTAATATTAAGATAGAAACTATCAGGCGGTCTTAATGTCTAAAATATAATATATATACTGTATAAATATATACGGTATATGATATATCTGCTGTTGCTGTGCTGTGTGTGTGTGTGGCTGTGTGTGTGTGTGTGTGCTGGTGTGTGCTGTGTGTGCTGTGTGCTGTGTGTTGTGTCGGTGTGTGTGTGTGTGTGTGGTTTTTGTGCTGGTGTGGTGGTGTGTGTGTGTGTGTGTGTGTGCTGTGTGTGTGAAAAAAAACATCTCTTTGAAGAGCATTGGTGTGTTTCCATATGAAATGACTCACTCTCAGCGGGTTTAAGTTATTTCATTAAGTATTAATAACATCAAGGAGTGGCTGATGAAGCATTGGTGAATTCCTCTGAGGATTACAGTAATAAGTCCAACCAGCACTTGTCCTCAAACTATTGTGATGGATTTAAAAGAGGACAAAGAAAAAGAAAACATGGGATCGGGATTTATGTGTGCTTTGTTGAGCTTTGCTAACAGTCAATGAAACACATGTTTTCCATGAGATGTAACATAAAAAGCCCAGAGATAACTGCTTAGTGTACAACTATCCATACTGAAAATATCAACATGGTAGGTAAAAAACTATTACATTTTACTGTATGATTTGTGGTCATATATTAAGATATTTATTCACATCATAATTTTATGGTAATCAGCGTGTTTTCTTACTGGTTGAGCAAAAACATAAAGACTGGAAACAGCTTCATCTGGAGAAAAATTGAAATGTTTAAAAACAGAAAAACGCCTTCGTAGGGCAAATTGAAATAGTGGAGACTCTAGGAGCCCCTCGCTATGAAATGATTGGTACAAAACGCGAGGTAATGCAGCTTGCAAATTGTCATTTTTAAAGTTAAACAAACAAGATAGTGAACCGCGTATGCAATCATCCTGTGCGTACCCATCACTTACACATTGGACCCTTGTGTAATCAGGAATGACTGTTAATATTATCATAATAATGAAACCACTACTGCTCTATATATATATAATATATGTGTTTGGTTTATTGTAGTTTGGTGTTCTTCAGGATTTAACTTAAATGCCTCTTGTCTAATCAATCAATCAATCAATCAATCAATCAATCAATCAATGTTTATGTATATAGCCCAATATCACAAATGTTACCTTTGTCTCAGTGGACTTCACAGTTTGTACAGAATATCAGTATGACAATACGACACCCTCTGTCCTTAGACCCTCACATCATATAAGGAAAAACTTCCGGAGAAAATCCCACAGTTTAAAGGGGAACATCGGAGAAACCTCAGGGAGAGCAACAGAGGAGGGATCCCTCTCCCAGGACGGACAGACGTGCAATAGATGCCGTGTGTCTAGCAATGCAGTGTGACAATGAGTACTGATTGTCTATATATTCAGAATGTAAAACGGGGGGTACATTTGTTTCTCACAGTTTTTCTGTCTTGATAACAAAGCAGGTTGCTCTCTGCTGTGCAATTACCACATTTGTACCGGTTCAGAACTTATGAAGGCATGATTGAATGTTAGTGGATTCATCAATCGTCCTTTTTTATGCATAGATTTCCAAGNACTTACACATTGGACCCTTGTGAAATCAGGAATGACTGTTAATATTATCATAGTAATGAAACCACTACTGCTCTCTCTCTCTCTCTATATGTGTGTGTTTGGATTATTGTGGTTTGGTGTTCTTCAGGATTTAACTTAAATGCCTCAATCAATCAATCAATGTTTATGTATATAGCCCAATATCACAAATGTTACCTTTGTCTCAGTGGACTTCACAGTTTGTACAGAATATCAGTATGACAATACGACACCCTCTGTCCTTAGACCCTCACATCGTACAAGGAAAAACTTCCAGAGAAATCCCACAGTTTAAAGGGGAACATGGGAGAAACCTCAGGGAGAGCAACAGAGGAGGGATCCCTCTCCCAGGACGGACAGACGTGCTATAGATGCCGTGTATAGCTATAGATGCCGTGTGTCTAGCAATGCAGTGTGACAATGAGTACAGATTGTCTATATATTCAGAATGTAAAACGGCACTGTGAGCCTCTCCGCTCACACAGGGTTCAAATCAGGACGGAAAGAGCAGGTTGGTGAAACACAGGCGTTTATTAACTCCAAACAATAACATGCGCGGGTCTCAAACGTTGCCCGGGTGGGAAACTTCACAGGTCCTTTGGCGACCTTCCAGGATCCCGCCTACTGCATAACAGACAGAACCAGGTTACGACATGCTTTTCTTCCTGCACTGATTACCTGATTCCGATCAGCTGTCTGGCCTCCGGCCGAGCCACTCCCTTCACTCCAGCAGCCAGCGCCCAAACCACACCCCGCTGCCACAGGGGGGTACGTTTGTTTCTCACAGTTTTTCTGTCTTGATAACAAAGCAGGTTGCTCTCTGCTGTGCAATTACCACATTTGTACCGGTTCAGAACTTATGAAGGCATGATTGAATGTTAGTGGATTCATCAATCGTCCTTTTTTATGCATAGATTTCCAAGATTGATTGTGTATCTGTGTGCAATTAGTCATCCATCTCTGTACCGTAGTGCATAGTTTCTTCACCTGGGGGGGACAACATTATTTCTGAAAGGAAGCAAGAGGGTTGTGGAAGCAATCAATCAGCTGTTAACACAGGTTTGCAGCCTTTCTCCTCGCCCCATTTCTTTCTCTTGGTGAATCACGTCCCAGCCTTTCCCCTTCTCTCTGCGGACAGCTATAGGGGATTCAATTTGACCTACACGTCTTTTCCATATGGACATTAACGCACCTACACATGTATTCTGGGGTCTTGACTCGAAAAGGCTAAAAGCCCCTACAGAAGTAGACCAGAAGCCTTTCATAGGTCATGTTCAAACATTGTCTCACTTCTAAGACATGGCAATGCGGTTCCCTTTGAAGAGAACTGCTTTGAGAAGACCTGCTTCAACAGTCTTGGTGTCTATGTTGCATGTTCAAATAAATTCAGCTGGCATTGTGCTCACATTTCTGAATAAGAAGGCTCAAGGGGTAATCCGTCACACTGTATTTTAGCCTCTTATAGCGCCCTAGATAAACACACACCTTTACTCTTCTTCTGAATAGTAAATGACAGCTTTCCTTTCCACAGGCGCAGACGGGCTGATGGGCATCTACCTCTTCATGATTGGCGCGTATGATCTGAAGTACCGCGGCGAGTACAACCGGCACGCTCAGGCCTGGATGGACAGCAGTCAGTGTCAGGTCATCGGATCTTTGGCCATGCTGTCCACCGAGGTGTCCGTCCTTCTCCTCACTTACCTCACTCTGGAGAAATACATCTGCATCGTGTACCCTTTCCAGTACCTGACGCCTGGCTGGAGACGAACTGTCACCATCCTTCTCGGGATATGGGTGTTCGGCTTTATCATTGCCCTTCTGCCGCTGGTCTGCAAGGGGTTGTTTCGCAACTTCTACGGCACCAATGGAGTTTGCTTCCCGCTTCACTCTGAGCAGCCAGAGACAGCTTGGGCTCATGTTTACTCCATCGTCATTTTCCTGGGTGAGGATTCAATCTTGCAATTGTCCTTGTTTGCTTGTTGATTTCTTCCCTTCTCACTGAAGCTTTTTGTACCAACTGTCTCATTATCCAGTGACTATATCTGTATTATTTAGCAGATTATTGGCTTTTTTGTTGTTATTGTTCAGCCACAGTGGACATATGAGCTTTTCCAATTGCATTGCAAAGAAACTAAGTGAACATCTCTCCGCAGGTCTCAACTTGGTGGCGTTTCTCATCATTGTCTTATCCTATGCAAGCATGTTCTATAACATCCAGAGAACAGGGACTCAAACCACCAAATACAGCAACCACATCAAGAAAGAGGTGACCATCGCCAAGAGGTTCTTCTCTATCGTCATCACTGACTCCCTTTGCTGGATCCCCATCTTCATTCTCAAGATCCTGTCGCTGCTGCAGGTGGAGATTCCCGGTACAGTAAAACGTTAACTTTTATAGGAATGCTCAGATGAAAGTGTAGATATTGAACATCAGAAACACCCCTCATTTTTGTAAAGCACTTTGAATTGCCTTGTGTTGAGTACGCCCAAAGGTAGTTAAAGTCATTATTAGGGTTAAAGTCCCCTTACGTGTGCCGTTTTGGTTTCAACACCCTGGTTCACGGAGGACCCCAAAAAAGTCCTAGAAAATTAGTGTTTTTAGATATAATTTCATAATATGTTTCTTAAATGCCATTAATGTCTTTCATTTTTGTAAGCACTTTGAATTGCCTTGTGTTGAAATGTGCTATATAAATAAACTTGCCTTGCCTTACCCATGCCTCTAAGAATTCCAACACGCTTTGCCAAAACGGGTTGACCATTGATCATTCCCATATGAGCTGTACAAATGTGCCCATCTCTTTCTTGCATTTCCAGCATGTGTTGGTATTTATTAGTCCTATTTTGAAAAGCCTAGATGGTGACCGTGATACATGTTCTTATGTTCTCTTATCTCTCATGCTGCGTCCCATCTTGCAGTGCGTAGCTGGAGCCATGTACATCACAGGTTTCTCCGAGTCAGTGGCGGAGCTGCTGGGTCTGCAGAGTCAGTGGTTGGTGCGCGGCATGTCAGCGGTAGTGCTGCTGGGTCTGCTGGGAATCAACCTGGCCGGTGTCAAGTGGATCGTTCGCCTCCAGCTGCTGCTGCTGGCCGTGCTGGCCGTCTCCACACTGGACTTTGTGATCGGCACCTTCACGCACCTTGACCCAGGTAGGGATGTGGATATATTCATATTAGAAGGGTAAAGTGAAAAGCTAACAGGGATCGTGAGAAGGTTAAATCAGTATCCATGTTTTGTGTCTTCTAATATTATTTATATAAGAGCCTTTGAAGCATTATTTAGCCATGCTACAATTAATCATGTAGTACTTCCAGGGCATCTTAACATCATTAACCGAGTAGCCAAGTCATCAGAAAATACCATTGAAAAATCTCAATAGCAGTTACCATATCAGGGAAAACACATTGCTATTTAAGTCAATTAGGAAGTTTAATGTTATTAGTTCCACTGTGTTTTTCTGGCATAACATGTTTAAATGTCTACTGCAGAAAGGTTGATGAATTGTTTGTATAGGGAGCGATGAAGAAAAAATAGTGCTCCAAAGGCTATAAACATTCAGGTTAGCAAGAATTATTTGGAAAGAACAGCATACACATAAGTAAAATATGAAAATCATATCAATTCAAACGCATATGTTTTTGAGTCGATGTCAAATTCCTCTTAGGTCCTTGTTTTATAGTTTCCACAGTATTTTTACTATTTGATAAAATATGAGTCAAGTCATGTTATGGAGAGATGTTGATCATTTTGCTCAACCTCCAAAGCCTGCTGGAAACATTGGGGAACAATGACTGTTTGTTCACTTGAGTGGTGAGTGGCAGTGACCTGTTGAGGCCAGCAGGTGTAGCTGTAGTATCATTTATCATTTTCTAAGGAGGATGGTGTTTGAGTTCAAATCTTTTTGATACAGATTTTACACAGTTTTGTCAGTTTACTCGTTTTCTCCAAAGATACTTTCCCTGCCTTCAGAGGCTTCTTGCTTTAGTTAGGAAATAGATAGTGCTGTTTTCGTGAGGCCTGAGCAAACTCTGAGACTGGCATTGTGTTTACTGAGAATACTTTTTTTCCTTCTTTTTTTCTTTTGTGGTGAGGAAATGTTGCCTTTTTGAGTAGATTGTATTCTTTTGCTGGCCGTCAGGAAGTCCTTCCCCACATTTCCTGTTCTCACTGATTATCAACGTCCTGTCCAGTGAGAAGAGAAAAGTGTTCCAGGAGTCAATCCTGTTTTTTTATGAATAGGACATAAAATAGACCCTGTTACTTGGATACAAGTAGAAACTGAAAAAGGTAACCTCAAGTGCACACTATTAAAAAAAAAATAGTCCTATTGTGTTGCCTTTTCCTATAGCAAACAACAAGGACCCCTAACCTGAACTTGTCCACCACTCCCAACCTCCAGCCGTCTTCATATTACAGTAGGCTGGTTTGCAGAAGTTTTGAGGGAGTAGCAGGCATAATGTTTTTTCCAGGTTTTTCCAATTAAGAGCTTCTGTGTGAGTTGTGGTGACCTCATGGCTGGCAGAGCACCAGCAGGTCCCCTAGCTGGATGAAACAGCCCAGATTGGCTGCCCTCACTGAATCTGGAGGCCCGTCCTGAAGAAATTGTGTGACCACAATCATGTGGTCACAGTTTGATAAGATGTCCACTTATGTTCACTGTGGTACATCACTCCCATTCATTTCATGTTTTCCAATTGACCTTATATATCAACAGTACGCTGGGATACTGGCTTGTTGGCAAATGTTGCTTTCAAAAATTATCTGTGTTCATGATCTGAAATAGTATAATTAATGGCTTTATGATTAGAAAATTAATAGATGAGTGGTTTAAAGGTGTTTTTCAAGCAAAAAGCCCAAACCTTCAGTGGTTTCAGCTTCCTTAACTCAAACGTTTTTAAATATAATACATTTAGTGTTGGGATTGTGGCAGACTAATATGAGGTGCTTGAAGATTTCTACCTGGCCTTTTTAGTGTTTATTTTACATTTTACAGACATTTTCTTTATCTAGAGTGTCTAGGATTATATTTCCCTGATTTTGTGGCTTTTGAACATCAACAGCAAATACATTTGAAGGAAAAGACTATATTACTAGGGTTTGTGAGCATCAACAGCTAGAAAAATTATTTGGATGGGTGTGAAATTTCAACCAGTAGACCTCTACCTTATTCTGTCAAAAGCTCTTGGCCATTATTTTTTTGAACGTGTGAAGCTGACGAATCATGTGTAGAAGTCTTTAGGGGTGTTGTATGAACATGAACTTTAACCTGTAGGCTGACCTCGCTTCCACATTTCCCCGCCTTAAGGATCTGGTAGAGGGACTGATAATGACAAGTTCGTCCTGCAGCACTGAGACAGGTGGACTTTAAAAATAGTGCTTTATCGTCCCTGGTGGCAGGAGAATTCATTTCACAATTGTAATATTTGTGTCGTAAATGATTTAGCTTGGTTAGTTACACTGCCAACACATTGTCTCTGCAGCAGAATAACTCAACCACAAATCCTTCTGAATGTGGTGCACACATGCAATCCAACCTCACCCAGTCCCTTTATTTGCAGCCTATTCCCAACAGAACAGGAAGTCATAATGTGCTGCTATGATCTGGGGTTTAGGGTGTTAACCAGGCTCACCCACATTTTTGGAAAATGACAAAGAGAGAAGGCCGGAACTGCGATCTGAGGCCTGTTGCTCCCCCAGAGAGCGCCACACCATCTCCCCACCATCCAACTCTATAATATATAGCTCTCAATCATCCCAGTGGGACCTGCCCCACCTCTGCGCTCCGTGCACAACACTTTATACTGGTCAGTGTGGGAGAGGCCTCGTGAAATCTGACTACACATTCCTGTCTGCATCAGAGGAATGCTGAGTTCAGAGAGGAGCCCCACTCTGCATATACACTTGTTCTTCAGACAATATGATACTGTAATATGATTGCTGTCACCACAGCTTTCTGAAATCTTTATTGCTCTGTAGGTCTCCCTAGAGCAGACTGATGTTTTTTATTCATACTAAGGTCGGCCCACATCACTGGTAGTTGTCTTATAATATAAGATATAAAAAGTGAAATCCCTAATAGCTGTTGTTTTACTCACAGTTTTTCCAACCATCTCAGTGAGGCCATATCCTTCATCAAATTACCATAAACTAACAGACATTGAAATAAACAAAAGAAACAATGGTTGCTGTGCAAAATATATGTACACTGCCTTCTACATATATTCTGCTGTTTGTACACCGACCAAGGCAATGCTTTTGTTTTGTTTCCAACAGTGCTCTTCCCCATGATCAGTTCATCATAGTTAACAATGTGATTAACCATGTAGAATTTACAGTCTACATGTTAGTTGGCATTTTGTTTTGCTGTATGATTTTAAATAACTTGCACCAAAGTTTGTGAAAAACAAGTTTTGTTTATACTCTGGAAGTGTATCCAAGCAATGCATTTTGTGTTCATAGTTTTCCAACAAACTCAAATGAGCAGTCAGAGAGTTAAGCATGGTTGGATGCTGGAGTACATGTTGTAATATGGGTGGGGAGCCCATGATGCAGACTTGGACCCCGAGTGCCCTGGATCTGTTCTGGCTGTTTGGACAGAGGGCGGTCTCACAGGGTCACAGGGTGAACACGAGTCTGGGCACCTTGTTCCATTTGATATTGTGATGTTAGTGATGTTTTCCGACCTTATGTTTTTGGCTTTTGTGTTAAACAAAAGAAAAACAAGTCCCTCTCTTCTCTCTGTCTCCCTCTCTTGCTCACTCTCATTCTTTTACACAAACTTGGAAGCCGCTGAGCTTCTGAAAAGGGTGGCGACTTCCTTTTGGATAAACATGTCATTAATCTGAGAGAACACATTCTTTCCCATCGCAAGATAACCAAGGGGGAAATGTCCGGTGTTGTAACATGGGCCTGCCCTTCAGCCCGTGTGGTTTAAATGGCCCCCGCAATGCAGAACAATCTCCTCCTGCACGTTCGACAAACAAAGACCTGACACTGAACTCACTGACCATGACTTAGGCTGCATACTTTCACAAGTGTCAAACTACCTATTGTTACAAATACATGCATTAGACTTCAAATTAAAGTCACACAATCTGAGATCAGGTAGTGCTGCACCACATTTGGGGGAGTATACAAAGTTAAATATGAACATAAACATGAAGTTTCAATTATAAAACCTCTAACTAATACTTGCAAAATGCAATATTTTTAAGAACCTATCATAGATATGGTTTTAAATCGTTGTGTCTGATACTGTAGTTCTTTCCTGGGAAAATCCCCGGTGCAGACATGATGTGTTTATATTTCCACTCAGTCTCAACTTTTCCAAGAAGTGCAGTGCAAAAACTAACCATTAATCACTTCACAAGGAAGAAAATGAAATCAAGCAAATAAAAACACCACCGTAATGATAACTTTTAAATCAGTGTTAAATCATACTGTGGCTGCAGGATGCAATACAGCATCCTGCCTGCAGCCTATAACACTGGCCATTTTGGGGGTTATGTTTTTTGTCTGTTTGTCTGTTTGTCTGTTTGTCTTATCAGAATGTTATGTTAAATCTAAAGCATTCAGTCTTAACAATTAAATCACATATGGCCGATATTGCAGGTGAGACTGGACCATCTTCAATTTGTGGATGCATTCACTTCCCTGATGGCTCCCACAGGATTGTTGACATCCTCGTGGATTCATCTTCTTATTATAGACACATTCATTTCCAAACATTTGGTCTAACTACGCTGTAAAATGTATTATCTCTTCAATTTACACACGGCATCTATTGCACGTCCTTCCGTCCTGGGAGAGGGATCTCTGTTGCTCTCCCTGAGGTTTCTCCCATTTTCCCCTTTAAGTTTTTCCTTGTACGATGTGAGGGTCTAAGGACAGAGGGTGTCGTATTGTCATACTGATATTCTGTACAAACTGTGAAGTCCACTGAGACAAATGTAACATGTGTGATATTGGGCTATATAAATAAACATTGATTGATTGATTGATTGATTGATTTAAGGTATTAAAATTATATGAATTCAAGAAAAGTTTAAAAACCAGAAGCTTTTCGATTTATAGAAAATATATCATGCCCATTGGCCAGTTAATTTCAAGATCAATCACACAAGTTACTTAAAAGGACATGATGTCTTCTGTTAACACATGTGTACTGTTTATACCTTGGACAGTTAATCCAGTAAAGATTCAGTACTTACAGTATTTGTGTGTTGTCTTCTTCCTCAGAACATGGTTTCATTGGTTATTCACCCTGGCTGCTCAGCAGCAACACAATGCCAGACTATACCTCAGGAGAAAGCTTCTTCACCGTGTTTGGGGTCTTCTTCCCTGCTGCTACAGGTGAGGCTGACCCCATCATCTCTTTTTAATCTAATATTGTGAAAACGTGCAGTAACACACTTACACTTTGCATGGTATACTGTATGTGCAGTATGTATAAGAAACACATTATTTGACCTTTGACTGTCAAGAATCGGTCCCACTTTTCATTTGTTTTGCAACTAAAGGCAGTGTGAAAATACACTTGTATTGTACAGTATGTGTTATTCATGTTTATGGTTTGTGTGTGTGCGTCTGTAGGGGTCATGGCAGGTTTCAACATGAGCTCAGACCTTCAGCGGCCTGAACACAACATCCCTGTGGGAACACTGGCAGCTGTCTTCACCTCGTAGGACCACACGCACACGCACACGCACACGCCCACATGCACACTTTGTAGTGCATTTTATTATTGTAAAATTAGCTCCACTAAGTGCACAGACTGACAACTGTAGAATCATTAACACTGAGCTACAGAGAAAGCTGTGGCAAAATGTAAAGCTGTTATCCTACAGAATTAATTTTAAATTCATGTCATACTACAATGAAAGTTTTAATTTGTGGAGTCTATTCCTCAAGGTAAGAATCATCCTAGGTGGTACTTTCCAAATGTTTCTCTCAGATCCCTTTTTGTGGTATCTTCTATCAAAAAGGGGCATTTTTTCCATATCCACTGGAGAGATCAAGCGTGCGCCCTATCACACACTGCTTGATTACACAATCCCTCTATTAATAGTGAGAGAGCCGCTGTGGTTAATAATCCTGTGTGATGTACTGTTGCTGACCCACAGGTGGTTCCTGTATCTGGTCTTTGTCTTCCTTCTGGGGGCCATCTGCACCAGAGAAGCTCTGCGCTATGACTTCTTGATAGCAGAAAAGGTAAACCCCCCCCACAGTCTTTGTTTCCATTCCGCCCCGTCAGAGAGGCGCTCTCATCAGAAGGGCTGAGGTGAGGGGATTCCCCACGATGCCTCACTTTGTTGACGTGGTTATAGTTCAGGTTCTGACTAAATGAATGTTCTTGACTCAAGCTGAAAACCCAGGTTAAAGTATATGGAAAATACTTTGCCCGTCCCAATATCCCCACTTGTTGCCTTGAGCACTTAAGTGAACTTTCACAATCTGAAAAGTAGTCCAATGTCGGAAACATGCTAACACAAAGTCCACTTCACACTGTGCACTTTTCCTAACACAGTTAGGAACATACTCAGAACGTCCCACAGCTGATTAGAGTGCACAGCTTCACAGCAGGCCAGTTAGTGGTGGTGAAGCCTCAAGGCTGATTATAGGAATGATAATCATCAACAGACAAGTCAAAATGTATGACGTGTGATTCAGCGCAAAAAAAGTATTACCGGTATTTACATTGACATTGCCAGAGTTTAGTAGACTGTAGATCAAAGGTTGTTGTGTACAAACTCCCTCTCCCAATAATATTTGATTTAACTTTATCCCATCACGTACTCTTTTTAACATCCTTGACTTCTTCATCAGTGGTTAGCTCTCATTGTTTTCACAAGGGGCTGGCTGCAGCGGAACCAAACTGGGTGTAGCTGTTGTGAGCTCTCGACCCCACCCCATCCTCTTCCACCCTCTGTTTGTTTTCCTTCTTCCTACAGGTCTCCTTGGTGGGCTTCCTCTTTCTGCTGGGCCTCTACATCTCCTCCCTGGCTTCCTGCATGGGCAGCTTGTATGCAGCACCCAGGATCCTCCAGTGCATCGCCCAGGAGAGGGTCATCCCCGCTCTGGCCTTCCTGGGAAGAGGGGTAGGTGGATGGATGGATGGAACCATAAAGGGAGGGATGTCTGGACATGAACAGTACAGTGAAAGATATAAGCTACAGTCACCCTGATGTCAATGCAAGTTATCTAGTGAGAGTGTACTTATATGTACCATTAAGTTTACTTATTTGAAGCAAAACGTTACCTTTTTTAATTGTCACATTTACGTTAGCTGTTTACATGATTGCAGTAAAGGGATGATCGAAGTAAGCAGCTCCCACATCAGCACAAACCCACACTTCTAAGGGGAGACATCACAAGTGAATAGCATTGCAAAGGGGATGTTCTTGCCTGTAGTGTCTGGCTGGAATTTGGACATTTTCCTACCTGAGTGACATATTAGTCGTAGCACTACTTTGCACAAATAATAGGCCAAATGTCTAAGTGGCCTGCGATGCATTAGATTGGAAAACAAAGACGAACTAATAAAGGAATGGTACAATGTGCTATTAAAGATTATAACTATGCCATTGTTAAGCAAACTCATAGATGCTTTTATTCATGCCTCTGCATTCAGTTATTTTGGATACTGAGATTTTCCTAGTTTTAGAGTCAGGAAGTCATGAAATCTATGTGAAGCAATGTCTCTCAAAAGTATAGATGCACACTGCCACGCTTGAAGAAGACTGATGGCTGCACAGCCTTTTCAAACAATATAATTTAATCGTTAAAGTGCATTTATTGATCTTAAAAATATACTTTTAAAACATTCAATTATTAAAAGTACATTTAATTTCCTGATTATACTTAATTTAACAATACAGACATGTCATTTGTACTTTATTATACAAGTCTAGTATTAGTACTCACACTTAGAGTAAGTAAGAGGATCTGTGTACCTCCTCCACCACTGCTAATGAGTGTGTGTAGTCTGGATGTGCAGGGGGGTGTGGTGGGTGTTACTTAACAGGAAACAGTGACAGGACTGCCTAACTATAGAGTGCAGACTCCACTCCATAGAAGTGAGTTTACTGACTGCATAGCAGCCAATAGTCAAGACTTACTTCTGTTACACAACACACACTCACACACACACACTCTCGGTCACGTTGACATCCTGACCCCGTCCACCCCAGTTTTCCTCAGACTTCCCTGGGTGGCAGGGGTGTCTGACCTCTCTCAGCGGGCTGGAATGAGGCCCTAGACATCTTGGCCCAAATCAAAGCTTCAGAACAAACGCAGGAAGGGCGGCGGGCAGGGCCCCGATCCGCTGTGTGCTCTGGAGGCCCGCCAGGCGCACAGCAGTGCTCCTTCAACTGTGTGTTAGGACCTGGGATGTAAAAGCAAGCTGGTTAGCAAATCACATGTTAAAACAATTACTAAACTCTACTGGTTTGGTTTTATATTTCTCAAATATAACTTTAAGTTCAGATGTCCCTCTAGGTGGCTGTTTGTCCCTAGTATGCCTATACTTAAGTGTTTTTGGGCAAAAGGTTCAAGTTATAATTCTACAGTGTCTCAATCTGGAGAATTAAGACGATATCCTATGTACCGAATGTGACACAAAGCATGTTGATTTTTACAAAGCAACCATTTTCTATGTGACAGATGCATCTCTAGAACATTTTTTGACTTAATAAAAAACGTTTTTTTCATTGTTTCCTTAACATGCATAAATAAGGCACCACAAAATAATGAAAAAATTATAATAATACAAACAGCAGAAATACAATTAAAGCCTAAAGGAAACTATTTTCTCATCATATAATCCTATTCCTGTCCCACCAGACCACCATTGGACACTTCCCCACATTTCTTGTTTCTATTATTGCATTTTTTCATTGTTTTTGACATCATTATTGTGTCCTCTCCCTCTCTCACAGAAAGGCCCTAACAGGACTCCCGTGGCTGCTATCTGTCTGACCAGTCTGCTCACCATGGCCTTCATTTTCATCGGTCAGGTCAACGTGCTGGCTCCGATCGTCTCCATAACCTTCCTGCTCACCTACAGCTTCATCGACTACTCCTACTTCAGTGTGGCCATGACCTGCCAGCTTCAGAGTAAAGAGAAGAGGGATACCATTGCCCCCGCCAAAAGATACGGGCGTGGGTCAACCAGGCAGAGCTCCAGGGCTCTGATCGAGGAATCTCTTCCGAGCTATGGGAGTGGAGGGGAGAGTCCGCAGCGGATGAAAGGCACTCTGCTGGAGTTTACCAAGGACATGGACCAGATATTTCCCCCTGTGTCTATTGTTGATGCTGGAGCTGAGAAGACCTCCTCCATGCAAGAGCTGAGCAGTAGATGCAAAGGCAGAAAAGCTCCAGTCACTCCTAAGCAGATGCTGATGGACAGCTTTGGCTTGGACCTCAACAGGAATATCTTCCCTGAGGAGAACGTACAGGAGATGAGTTCTGCTCCACGTGAGGAGGCTGGAGAAGACCCACAGGAGTCAGCTGGTGACCCTCCCCATCACAGCCCAGGTGATCAGCTCATAGAGTTCAGTGTTAGTCTTGTGTGTTTTAAGCAACCTGACCCTATATTTAATCTTTCAGTTGCCGGAGGTAAAGCGGAGCAGCAGAGCGTTGAAATCAAACCCATGCAGGATTCGTTATATGTGAAATTCTGCAACCACTGGGTCGCTCTAATCGGGGTTCGTAAACACCTTTTTTCATTTGTTGTTATGGTATAATATAAGATCATCTTAATTATTAAGTTATTATATGTTTTTTCTTTCAGGCATTGAGCTCCATATTGATTATGTTTGTTATTCAATGGGCTTATGCCTTAGCAAACATAGTCTTAGCCTTGCTGCTCTTCTTCTACATCGGGAAAGTGAGTCCTGGACTACCTATAGGTGATTTCCATCAGTTCATTTTCTGTTTAGACACATTTGGCTTAACTTGATGAGAGGTCCTGTCATGGAGACCATGTGTCCTGATTTGGATTGTCCCAGATAAAAAGCATATGCAATATGGATGGAAAATACAAGATGATGAAATGCTTTACTAACATATTGTGGGGATTTCCTGTGTCTTTCTCATAAACCACCTGCACATGTGCAGCATTTTCCAGCCTTGTATGCCAGACTAGAACTTCAATAGAAAATGGATTTTAATAAAGCTTTTTGACACTGTATACCAGGCAGCACTTAACTCTGCACACATAGCTAATGTTAGCCTGCTCTTGCGGCCTAGTCAATTTTGTGTCTGATAGATTGTGGCAGTCAGTGCAGCTCGGGTTTGATATGATGCAATCCAGGGTTCGAGTTATAAACTGAGCTCTATGGGGGTCTTTAAAACTAACGTGTGTGCACACACACACACACACACACACACACACACACACACACACACACACACACACACACACACACACACACACACACACACACACACACACACACAGCAGCCCTCTACTTGCTACAAACTTAAATATGAAAAGGTTCAACTACGCACACACAGATCATCTCGGCCCGCGCAGCACGCTCACAGGCATAGATTGCGCAATAATGTATTGCGCACCTTGGAGGTGCAGTGCAGGCATATCGTCATTCAAGAGATGCGTAGTTCTTTTGGAAAACATGTTTTCCTTTTAGCCTATTTACCTCGTTAACGTAAATAATACTCATTACATTGACACATGCATTATTTGTGATTAAAATAATGGTTGTT